GTGGGAAGATGAGAACTGGTGAGTGGGTAGTAGCTGAGAACTGGCGACTGTGTAGTACAACCTTAGTATGCGGAGTAGGTGGGGAGCTGGAAGATGAGAACTGGCGACCTGGTAGTACAACTTTAGTACGCAGAGTAGCTGGGGACTGGGAAGATGAGAACTGGCGACTGGGTAGTGCAACTTTAGTATGGAGAGTAGCTGGGAAATGGGAAGAGGAGAACTGGCGAGTGGGTAGTAGCTGCGAACTGGCGACGGTGTAGTATATAACTGTAGTGCGCGGAGTAGCTGGGGAGCTGGAAGATGAGAACTGGCGACTTGGTAGTACAACTAACACGTGCCTTTGACAGCAGGCAGTGGAAGCCAGCTTGCTGGCTGACAACAGGCAGTGGAAGCCAGCTTGCTGGCTGCCATTGTCCAGATGGAAAGCCAGCACGTTGGCTACCATCATAGTTGAAGTGGGTAAGCCAGCACGCTGGCTGCCATTGCTGAGATGGCAAAGCCAGCACGCTGGCTAGCATCATAGTTGAAGTGGGTAAGCCAGCACGCTGGCTGCCATTGTCCAGATGGCAAAGCCAGCACGCTGGCTGCCATCATAGTTGAAGTGGGTATGAGCCAGCACGCTGGCTACCATCATAGTTGAAGTGGATAAGCCAGCACGCTGGCTGCCATTGTTGAGATGGCAAAGCCAGCACGCTGGCTACCATCATAGTTGAAGTGGGTAAGCCAGCACGCTGGCTGCCATTGTCCCCTTACCAGCAGCCCAAATGCTCACGACGATGAGCTGGGCTGTCACCGCTTGGCCGCCGGTGGGGGGTTTGGGAGGCCGCATCACACACAGACACCCACACACTCCCTCAACTTACACGAACACACACATACGCAGACTCATTTCCACACGGACATAGACACACGCACAGAAACCCACACACTACCTCAACTCACTCGACTTCACACTTCTCACTGCACACTTACCGGATAACTCGCACTCTGACTTCCTACGTGATGAAAAATGCTTTCGGGCCACTCGTCGTCTAGTCGAAACAACAGAAACTATATAACTCCTTTTCTGTTGGTGACTGTTGGTGTTGAGTTGGCGTTTGTTGCGTAGTTGTAGCAGCTCCATGTCGGATGGGTGCGCCGCAGCTGATTTGCTCAACAATGGCATCGATGAAAAAGACTTGCACTCAGAGCCTGACTGAGACAGCTAGTTACACAAAAAACAGGCAACTTGAGGTGTCACGAAAAAGCCTTTGTTGTTTAGGCAAAACGCATGACAAAACACTGCGTTTACCAATGAATTTGACATGAGAACCTGCAAAATAGGGTACGGTTTCCAATCCGTACGGTTATTTGCAGAGTACTGCACATGTCTATGCATGTCTAAACAAATATGCCAATGGTTTCGGTTTGTCAGAAGTTTTCGCGGACACCCGCAAAGCTAAGTTATATGAGTTGATAATGGCACATCTTGAAGTAGGAACATCATCCATTATGGCATATTATGGCACTTGGATGGTGACGATACGGTTACCAAGAATCTCTGCTTACAAAGCAATGACGATCGAAGCATATCCAATATCCAAGCATAACTGAAGCTGAATTGGTCCTAATCTGTTGAGTTGGACCTTGCTCCTGAAACCATACTGAAAAGGTTGTGAGGTGACCTGCATTCCAACACTCAAGCGCACTTGTATCAGCAAAGGATTATTGAAGTAGCTTAGCTTCTGCAAAGGTGGCCTAAAGAACAGTTTAAGATTCAACATGTGAGAAATGGTCAGAATGATCTGTCCCTCCCAGACTGGTGAACACCCAAATAGGTTTGGCAAAATTTGGTGAAGTAACAGGTGCCACGCTAGTAGTAACAAGAAGCTATTAGAAACAAGTGCATCGCTACTAGTAACAAGTGCCTTACTACTAGTAACAAGGACGCTAGTAGTAACAGGTGCCACGCTAGTAGTAACTGGTGCCTTACTAGTAGTAACAAAAAGCTATTAGAATTAAAATTAAAGCAAATTTAATGAGTGTCCGCATGTCCATCCCATCCATCCCCAGCTTCACCTGGAGCGTTCTTGTATGGACGCCTCCCAGGCATGCAAAGCCGACTCCTGGGGAGCACTCTTTAAAGTCTTAAATCGCTATTGACCCTCATCCGGAGGCTGCCACACGCCAAGCTCAATGTGTGATGGGTCAAACAAATCGAATACATTGCACTCTTCAGTGCGTCAATATATTTTGTCATTTCATTTGGCCAACAAATCACAATTGATTGATGGAGACGTCGTCTCCTCAGGATCCAAGGTCTCTTTCTGGGTCTTGTCCAAATGCTCCTCCTTGGAGTGTTCAAGCAAAGGCTTTGGCTGGAGATGGTCTTGTTCGGATTAAGAATTCCAAAATTTCCGCTGGCTGTATGCAAATCTGAAAATAGGTAGATATCGTCTGTGAAGGATTGATTGTTCGCTTCAACAGCAGTACTATCAGGATAACTTTGACCTGTGGGTCGTCACACCATGTGGGAAGTACACCGATTGGGATGGCCAAGCCCGTCTTTGGTCCTTTAGCATTCTCCATGCTACTAGCAGCGTCTTTGCTACCAGTAGTAATGCCCAGTGCTACTAGCAGTAATGCCCTTGTTCCTAGTAGTTTCTAGCCACTAGTAGCGTCTTTGCTTCCTACAGAACAACTCACACGTGCAGTGGCTTGGACTCCCGTGCCAGCTGTGACCCGCTTTGGGCACTTTGTGCGCTGAATTTGCTCTCTGGACGCCTGTCCCCGACTGGGCACCAATCTGCAAACCAAGAACATGAAGGCTCATCCAAGTCAACCGTTGCCAGAACGACATTTTGGACTCTTGTGGGGAGAAGACCTAAGATTAAACGTTTCGACAGTCCTTTATTCCCCTGCCCCCGTCTTAGATCTGGTCATACATGGCTTCGATCGACCTGGCTCTGTTGGTGTTTAGTTTGGAATGTGGCATCCTGCTGTTTCTGGTTCAAAGGAAACAAACATGGGAACAAAAGCAATTGGGGTTCAATGTTGTTCTGTCCGGGCATCAACTTGGCCAGTGCCGGCGGCTTGCCGCCTCAGCCTGGTTCAGCTTGGCGACGCGCCATTGAGACACGCTGATTGGGGTAGGCTGATATTGAATGCTATATTCCCGCACCCTCCAAAGTACACCAAAAAATGGGACATTATGACACGACATGACCAACAAAAGACAGGTATCTGTACCCATGTTCTGAGGTACTTTGAGACCCCAGGTTGTTCTCTTGTCCGATGAGCGTGTGCAGCCAACCAATGTTGCCCGGCCTTGTCTCCAAGTCGGGCTCCTTTAAAGGTGCCTGGCGGAGCCAGGGCATTCTCGCACCAAGAATCACGGGGGGAACACACACCCAGGAGGCTCATCACCATCTGTCCGAACTGTATGACCATACTCTAGATGTGTGACGTGTTCTAATGGAAGATGATGCAAAAGGAGAAGTCAGCAACTCGTTCGACAAGTTCTAGCCGCCAAACTCATCGTTCGCCATGCCAGAAAATTTGCCCAACGGATTCCCATCGACAGTCACCTCCACTCGTCTGAGCAGCTCATCCAGTTGATTCTGCCATTGCTGTGGGTCCATCACCCAATGTACTAAATGATACTAAAGATGCATCGGTGGTGTCCCAAATGTCCTGGCTACAGTTGACTTGGACGAACCCTACACTTAGGACCTGAGGGATCCTGAGGGAAAATTGCGTAACTCATCTTAGTCTTTGACACGTTTTGCGGCCGGACAGGGGGACCATTCGCTAGGCTGGTGGTGGGTGATGGGACAGGAAAGCTGCCTGGTGAATGTCCAATGTCGTGGTTTGTGAAAGACTGGCAAAGCCTACCGGACAGGAGCAAAAATCATGTCGTGCAGCGACCCAGTTAGAGTTGTGTGCATGTCTTGAGAATCTGTGACGTGTGAAGGCTGCTGTGGCAGAACCCATCCAGAGATGCAGCAATATGACTAGCAAGTGTACTCGAATGCCTATAAAGCCCAATCAAAAGTTGTCAGACTTGTGGTGAGTACAGCTCATCGCTTGGTGGAATTCCTGGTCCTCTCAAGGCCTCTGAAGCGGAGTTGGCCCAAATGGTGGGTTCATTGGTCCCTTATGGCTTCGGTCTCCGCATATCCTATCCAAACATATCCAAACGGTGTTTTCAGCTGATTTGCTGTTCTGAACAGTTGCAGAATGCAGCATCCACCCTTCCACTCCGAACTATCCTCCTTGCCTGCTGCCAAGCTGGCTTTTGGACACACCCGAAGCACTGTACAAAGTATGCTGGGCAACTCATGCAGTCATGCATCGTTAGGAAAAAGGCACTTCATGCCTTAACTTATACTTATGGGTTTCAAATCGCTTGCCTTTCACAATGTCTGCTGCTTGTAATCATGGTTCCATTTTGTAATCATCCAACTGCCTCACTAGTGGAATCTATGCCTTGACCAGTTAGCTCACTCCACGTGGAAGCAACGTCGATCTCACCTCGCATCCCGTGTCAGCTGGCTGCGTAAAGCCTCCTCAAACCTCGGGAAATGAGTCCGACACGCTACTGCAAAGAAGGCTTCAACAGCGTGTGAGCTGTATCCCTACATATTCGCTTGGAATGCGAGCATACTGAAACCCGGAATCCCAACCTCTCCATCCAAACCTCTCATACCCATGAGAGGAATTATGATGATTAGGCTGCTCAGCATTGCCAAACGATTCATGTTTCTTGCACGGGAACAAGACTATCAATGTTTGGCGCAAAGCAACGGCTGGAAGAGGCCCAGGCCGGAGGAGCAACTCCCGAACTGCAGGGATGCCCTCCTGGCCAGCCAATAACGGTCATCCTTTAGACATCAACCAACATCACGAGAGAAACATAAAGCAAAAATACGGGAAAACACATCACATCGCTAAACAAACACGATGTAGGTAGGGGATCGAGCTCTGTATGAGGAATGTACAGGGACCAGGACCCCAGTATTGTAATTACTGTTACATTATTTTGATGTATGTTTATATATAGTATATATATAGATGTATACAGCGTATATCCGAACATGTCCAAACCGACCATGTTCTTGGGGGATCTTGGGAGGAGGTCCGGTAGATGTTGTCGGCTTGAAAAAAAACGCCCTACCTTGCGCACCGCGCTGGCCAAACGCCCGCGAGACTCGTCGCTGGATGTCTCCACCTTGGTGCAATGGAATTTGCCCGCCCCTGTCCCCACACGACGCTACATTACACTGTTTGTTTTAGTGTTGCACGAAACACATTCATACAAATGTCATTCTCTTCAGCCAAGCACTCCGTTTTGTGAGTGCAGTACTAGGAGGATTGCTCAAACGCCATTTTTGTTGGAACAGCTGAACCTCCTTAGGACAAGCAAGTCCTCCGTCCCGATTCTCAAAACTTCGTGGTGGACAAAAACACACTCAGACCATGGATACTCCAGTGCCTTTTTCTAATCCACTGTCTGATGCCGGACAGAAATGACGAATGCTGCTAATCTCAAAGCGCCCCCCAAATGGGTGGTCCTCAGAAAAGGACACTAGTCTAGTCAGAATCTCATACTGTAATCACGGGACAATCCTACTAGTAGCTTTATTGTTACTACTAGTAAGGCACTTGTTACTAGAAGCGATGCACTTGTTCCTAGTAGCTTCTTGCTCCTAGTAGTACGGCCAGGAGCCCCTAGTAGCGTCCTTGTTGACCAGTTCTTTGCCTCTCAACCCCCCATGTCGTCATATCCGGTGTTTCCAGAAGATCTCGTCAAGTTGGTCATCGGACTTCCCGACTTCGACTGCTTCGCCTGGATCAAGGAACTTTTGGGTCCATCTTCTGAAGAGAACTCGGGCCTCACCGCAGGGAGGTCGTTTGGACAAACAGCCCGAGAACGGCCTGGGACGAGTGTAGAACCCATGATGTGTTTGTTTGCTTGAGTCTGATGTTGGAATCCAGAATCCGTTGAGGCTTCTCAGCTAGTGCAGGATGGACTGCCTAAGAAATAGCACCAGCTCCCAACCAACCTAATCACCTACAATCCGAGTGTCATACCCACAAGAACTTTGGTGGTTATCATTCCAAACTTGTAGGGCGAGACCCGGATGTCCAATGCAACCTGGATTCGGGAGTGACCAATTTCAAACACTGACATGAGAACGGACTGAGAAGTTTCGTCGCGGCGCATGGATTGCACATTGTTGCTGGCTTGGATGCTTGATGGTACCTGCATGTGCCTGCTAAGGAAGAATCTCACGCAGGCAAGATAATTGCAGGGACACCTCCAGAAGATTTCTCAAGTTTTGTAATACTTAATCACACATCTGAATGGCCATGACACAGCTTCTAAGCTTCTGACAGGATGAGTGCGCCTTTGGCATCCCCCAACCTGATGGATGCCAATCCACTGCTAAGATTTTTTACTACGAAGAAACCTGTGCAACCAGCATCAGAAGGCGGAGAATTGATAAGATGTGAGGGGATGTTAGAGGGAGATAGCTAATGTATCTCCACGAACAAGTTGAGTGGTTTTGCCCGGGAATTGGCTCTTTTTTTCCTGATTAGTCCTCCACACGACCAAGAAGTAGCATACACTGCTTCAGGTGTTCCACTGAGCGAACTCGAAAGTTCAAGGTTGCTTAGCCTCTTCAGTTGTTGTGCCTTTTCTTTTCTGGAACTTATCTCCAAAAGCAACAAACATGCGGGAAGAGTCTTCCTTTTCTAAAGCCAGTACCCTGCAATGGGGCCAGTCCCCAAAACGGTTGACCTCTGCCAGTCCTATGTCCTACGTCTTCTGGTCCTCTGAACTGGGCCATCCAAACCCCTGGGCCGTGGCCGTGGCCTCCCATCGACCTCAGGCCGACGGACGAGGTAGACTCTCCCTGGAATTCTCCATAAAATCACGGAAGCATGCGCTCATTTGGTGAGCGTCTAATATCTCACATATATATATATACATAACAATATCGCTAATCTGTTCATGTCTTATCTTCAATCACGGAAACATTCTTATTTGGCTGATTCTCCACCTAGTGCTCAAAAAAATCAAAAAATATCACAGGCACGTCGCAGCCCATAGTTGGTTTCAGGGAGTTGGCCATTCGGTTGAGATTAAGGCTGTGACTTCCTCCCTAATCCTCTGATTCAAGGCTTGTGTTGCCATGCCGTTGGAACTGTACTTCAAGTACTAGCGATGGCCTCCGTCCTAGTAGCCTTGGCCTCCAACCTACGAGGGTGGAATACCAAGTCACCAAGCCCTGCCAGGATCTGGCGTGTGACATGCCACATGGCTTCATCTCCGATGAACTGAGTTCCCTAGCACTCAAGTCGCAAGAGGTACAGGACGATAGGTTTTCCTGAGCGTAGCCAACTTTGTCACGGTAGATTTGGTATGATCTGGTGATCAATGGACCGTTCATGACATATAGGTGCTACAGCGAGGCAACCGACAGCCAGCCCAAGCCCCGTGCCCTCCAATGCTTGTGGGTCAATCTGTCGTAACTACATTACTAGAGTGGAGCACCTGTTGCCTCATACACCAGGTTCATCTATATTAAATCTAGGGACAGTTTCAAACTGTGAAGCATTCCTTTCCACTTCGATCTACAGTACCTCACAATGCGCCACCGAGAGACCCTTCCGCACGGACACCGAGGAGTCGCCGGTGACCTGGCGACATGGGGTCGCCCCGCCCTGCTGTGCCCATTGGTCTTGCTACGAAGCGTGGTGAACTGAAGGCGACTGGCACAAGGCAAACCTTTCGAACGCGTTTGGGTATCCTTTTCTTAGGCTGCCTTGCAAAACTGGCCCTTATTGAAAGAGGCCCAAGCACCTTGCCTCATTTTCCCTCTAGCGTCTAACGCACTTATTGCTTAGATTTCTACCAAACCAGCCGATCTTCATCGGAAGGAGCCTGGATGTCTCGAAACTCCAAGGTCGCCAATCCAGACCTTACTGCTTGGCATCCAGTTTTGGCTCAAGTGTCATCAAACCAATTGGCTTGCTTACAAGAACCCAGAAAAGCAGACTCTAGGTGCACGTTCTGAATTGACTGTGAGAGTGCAAACTTTAATGGCTCCTGTGGACGATAGATCACAAATGCAAGTTGGCCTCCGACTACGTAGTTGCTAGCTGGTGCAAAGCCACCAACATCTACCATACAGTGACCTACTACAGCCGGACGTTTCCGGCACCCAACGCCGTCCTCTGGGCTCACAACAGCAAGCGTATCGCGAGGCCCTGCAGTTCACGGGTCAGCCACTTCATACCTGAGATGGGACTCATGGTGTGATGCTGAGTGGTCCATTGGGACCTGTAATCTATGTTTGAGTATTCTTGGGTACCAACTTTGGCAAGCGTCTGAAGGTTTTCGCAGTAGGCCCCATCATGACTCGTGACAGGTTAGATCTCAACATACTCAAAACAATCACATGAACAAATAAACAATTCTTGTTGAAACATCAACTGCATGAGATATTGAGCGCTGATTGTTTCGGAGACACTTTCTTCCCCAAGTAGAAAACGGACATACTGATTCAAAGCACAATTCCGCTCCAAGAGGTTCTGTTGTGTCTTGCGGCTCTATGTGCTCAACTATGTGCTCAACTAGCTCCTATGGCTCTGAAGGTGGCAGCACTGCACACTTGTCAGGTGTCCATCTAGTTACATGACATACTGCTGCACTCAACTCACGGTGATGCACTCATGTTTCATGGATGTTCATGTCGCAAGCACAGCGAGCTTCCAGCGAGCTTGAGCTAGTTGCCTGAGGGTGCCACTCCACTCAGTCATTGGCTTCTCCTCCCAGTGCCACGCATTGACATTCCAAACCTCAGCACATCATCTACAACAGCAACAGCTTGGGATGCGGGTGTTTTTTTGATTTCATCTACATACATACATTACATTAATTACATTAATTACATTACATTACATTACATACACATACATACACTATTTCTTATCCATCGACATCCAATCCTGGTACATTCCGACAAAGGCGTTTAAGTTAGGTTTAAGTGTCAATTCATGAGTGTCAGGAAAAACACAATCAATTGTTGTCACATGTTGTCACTATTGACAATCGAAACACTGAAGCACATCGAAATGGATTGCACAAAAAACCCGGTGAACCATTGTGGGCTACCAATACCATCAGTAGTTTCCATGCCCCACAATTACTAGTATATCAACAAGCCCATCGTGCCCCACACAATACTGAACATTTCTGCAATGTACCTTCTCGTACCTTCCATCAATTAAGCCTAGTACTCCTACGCTTCAGCTCAAATGTTGGAATCGCCTTTGGTAGCCTAGGCTGGTAAACCATCTGGCGTTGAAGCCAAGGTGCGCTGCCGGACACGGCTTCGGCGGTCGGCCTGATGCACCGAAAAGGACAATGGGCCTGGCTCTCTGAGATTTTTGTTAAGACTCGCTATCAGCCCTAATTTGGCTTGCTCTAAACTCCAGAGAACTATTGAGGTAGTGACCCAACAAGGTTAAGAAACTAACCGCTGGTGGTGTCTGTGATGTACCTGCGACTCTACTTGCACAAGGCACCATGCTCATTGTCAGGCAAACCATGTTCTCTGCATCAAGTTTCTCTCACGCAAGGTCTCTAGCACCAGGGAGTTATCTGCAACTCAAGATTGAAACTACTCTCCCCATTCTACGGCAAACCTGCACACTTTTTGACCGCATCGAGGCGTTGGCACCAGCAGGTAGTTGAACAAAGGTTAAGGCCATAAGTGACAGAGCACAAGATGGAACATGAGTTATATACCTGAAACTTACATGTTTCAAACGTGTAAAATCTAGGAATGCAAACACTGGAGGTAGGAGTGTATCAAGGGTTTGACTCCAACCACGTCTGTGACCAATGGCGGGCTGTGCATTCTGCCCAGCCAATTTCAGTTTCGCATCACGCGAACTCTCAGTATTCTCTGGGCTCCTGCACAGGAAGGGCAAACAAGGTAACAATACAGGTACCCTTGCGGCTATGTATATACAGTGTATGTATATATACAACTCCAATTATTAAACTATCTACCTTTACAACTCCAATTATTAAACTATCTGCCTTTAATATCCTTTAACTACTGGGGGAAGCTGGATGTCTTCTGCAATATTACAGGAAGAACCGGCATCAAATGAGTATCATGTGACAACCTGTAAGTTCAGATCCTTCATTCAAAGAAGCATTGCCTGCCGACGGAATGAGAGCTAAACATTGGACCCTTGGCTTCACATTCCCACCAAATTGAAAAGCTCATCACACTACAAAGCAGGCGTCAGCAAGCACTGATCCAGACTGGAGACCTCTGAGGTCTTTGCTGCTTCTTTTTGCCGTTTTTGCTGTTTAACTTTTGGATCAACTACGCTTGCCATGAAGAGTAGATTGATGTCCCACCAACCGGCCCAACCCCAAGTAGGTCCTCACTTCCAGCTCCAGGTACCTGTCACAGAGTCTGCAAAACTCCAAAAAGTGGGATCTGGCGGGAGCTTGGAAGCGAGAGTCATGCCGACATTAAATTCCTTCACAGTGTCTGATTTTTTTGTGGATCCGTATACTACAACGGTAAAAAACAACAAAAAACGAGACTGTTGATCAATGGTGAGTGCGTGGATCCTCAATTTACCTGGCTTCTTTTCTATGTCACCAGTCTGAATGTTCAGGGGTTTACGCTGCCTTTTAGAAAGAGAGGTGTGTTTCATTTCAATTTCACCCTGGTCGGTGACTGTTCACAATTGATGGACATCATCCTATACCAGCTGAGATGTCATACCATCCTGTTGCCATGCCATGGTCAAACACAATGGCTTTCATTGCCAATGGTCCGTCACAAAGGCTTTTGTAGACCTTTTCTCCAATGAAGGGTTCCAATATACGGTGGCCCTCTTCTCAAATCCTTGCAGGTTCACTTTGCAACTCCCAAAATCAGTCTATTTCTCTGAGAACCTTGAACCCTGTCACAACAAGAACACTCAAGGAGTTCCATCCCAACATGACGCTCCTCCCCAGTTTCCTTGGTGGAAACATGTGAAATATGGGCAATACCTCTGTAAGGCAACCAGACCGGAAGGGATCTGTTACCGAAGTTATCGCTGGTTTTGGAAGGCAAGCACTGATGAGGTGAAGGAGCCTGAGGAGCCGGTGTCGGTGGTGCTGGTGGCTCCTGCAAGCGCTGAACACCTCAGGAGAACCTGACATTCATAAGTAACGAACAGATCCGGCGCACCATGGTACATCCGATGTATACATGTATACAGACTGTACATGACTGTACTCTTTCCTCAAAGGTGCTCCGCTGGAGTTCATTCTCACAAGATCCTCTGTCCTCCTTGGAATCCTCCGGATCCGACTCCTTGGGCGGCTCTGTGCTTGGGGCCGCCTGCAATGACACTTCCAGTCACCTGGGTTTTGTACATCAAAACTAGTTGTAGACTTCGCCCAAACTTACCTCAACTGAGAATAGGAAAAAACTATAATAAACTGTTCTCACTCTGTTTTCGAGTTCAGGCACGATGTGAGAGATAGCCTCTCAAAAGCCACCCGGGGCTGAAACATGGTCCGAACTTGTGAACTGAAGAAAACAGGAAGCTTTCTTGGCCAAATGAAAGCTATGATATGTGGATCTTGCAGAAACGCCTCCGGGTACGTGGAAAGAACAACAGCCCCTCCGCTCTTATTGCCCATACAAGTCGCTAGAGCTAGAGTCTAGAGTTCGACAAATGTGTTTCCTTGCTTTAACGTGCGCTTATCTTGAGAGACCTCACCCTGCTTTCCACCCAAGAGTAGTCTTCAGGTCTCCACCAGGCCCGGTTCACCGTTCATTGATGGTTTTCAATCGCAGAGCTGCAGGTCAAAGCAATCCACGGATCGCGGAACTGCATCAAATGTTGATTGTGGCGATTTGAAAACTCTTGACCTCATCTCACACCAAGGGGCGGCTCTTTGGTCAAAACCCCAATAAGCTCTTGACTCCTTTGGACTCCTTTGGACTCCTTTGGTCCGTTCCCAGCTTTGACCGTAACGCTGGCGCCTCTGTGCTTTTCGGAGCTTCCTATGCAGTCCGTTCAAGACGAGACTGCGGGGACTTGAAACCAGAGGTTCGTCCTGGTGGACAACCAATGACTTAGTGACTGCAGGCGCTATTGGTGCTGTCTCTACATGTACAAGGATTCCCTTGATCTCCAAAGCTTCCTAACATTGGAAATAAAGATCAGGTACTATCATGATCTATCATGTACTATCATGTGTTTACTCCATTTGTTGGACAATTCTGTGTGGGCTCATGTGGAGTCCAGTTTTGCACGTTGTGGGTCTTTGAGCGGAAATTCGAATCAGTTGGATTGCGACTCGGAAGACGATTATTTTAATACATAAGCGTTGGTTTTGGTGAAAGATGGGTGCAGGCATGTGCAGTCCATGCCCTGCCTCCACATGTAGCTGATGAGTTTACTTTTTGTCCACCCGCTGCTCATCTCCACAATTCACACTATGCTGAGTTACTTTGTCCAGAGTCGAACATGTGATACGAACAGTTGTCCTGAATCAAGTGGCGGCTATTGAAAGAATGAGATTCCACCTATGCTCGCCCTGAGGAGAACAAATCTAGATTCCTACTGAATGGGCGTGTGATAGAATTAGTTGCAACAATAGATGATAATTTGATGTATCTGATGCGTCGAACACATTGCCTGAGAGTCCCTTGTTTGGGATACCCTGCGATTGGAGTCATATACAGTAACACATATATATATATAAATATTATATATATATATTATATATGTATCTATTAAATATATATATATATATATCGCGGTCCCTAAGTCCACACTTTCCGTCAGAATCCGCTCCCACCTTGTCATCACCTTCTGCCTGAGGCGGTGTTTGGTGCAACTGATGGACCTTCCCCACATGTCAAATTAAATGGAGGGATCCTCCGCGAAGCATGCTGGTGTCTCCCAAAAGCCTAGCCTCAAAAGGAACCAAAAGGAACAGGTACAATCCAACATGGCTCAGGAGCACTTCATTTTCCTCATGTTTGAACAGGAGAACGTTTGACGATTCTTCGAATCGAACAGAGAACCCGTTTCATGTGCAACAAAAAAGACCCCTTCGGCCGCCCTTCGGCCCTTTGGATCGATGAGACATGTCACCCAACCAAAAGCGTCCGATCGCTCCGTTCGTAGCGATGCCCTTTGTTCCTAGTAGCGTCCTTGTTCCTAGTAGTAAGGCCAGGAGCTACTAGTAGCGTCCTTGCAACCTCACAAACACTGAGCCCCATCGAGGCCTTCTTGAAGATGCCGAAGCCAGAGAAGGCCTTGAGACGTGCCTCAGTGTTCTCTTTGCTTTGACACCTTGAGAATTGCTGATTCCTCTTGAAGCTGGCAAAATGCCGACAGGTCATTGGATACATGAAACATCATGAAACATGAGCTCATTTAGCCTGAGAGAACAGAACCAAAGCTTTGGCTTGAAGGTGAGGCTGCTCAAATGGTCACAAGCTTTGAAGGTTAGGCTTTCCTATCCACTCTTCATCAGTCTCTCAGTAGAAAACCCTTCTAGGCCCCAACCACCAGTGCAGATCCGGAAGCATCCAGCGCCGTGGCTGCCTCTCTCTGATAGGTCTGAGGGCTTGGTGATGAAACATGCACAATGTCGAAGCAGTCAAAGTAGAGAAGAAGAACGCTATGTTGCGTCCTTGCCCCTAGTAGCGATGCCCTTTGTTCATAGTAGCTTCTTGCTCCTAGTAGTAAGGCAAGGAGCCCCTAGTAGCGTCCTTGCTCCTATATAATCTGAGAAATCGATAAGGAGAACAAGACACTGCAAGTAGCTTTGGAATCAGCAGCTTCTTGAATGGCCCCATGAGGTCTTACAAAAGAAAGCAGGCTTCGTGGCTCCTACTCTGCCGTGGTGGTCGCAAGGTCGTGACCATTTTCCGCGTGCGCAGGAACTCACGTCGCCGTGACCGCTTGGGCGACTCTCGCAATCCTGGCGACTGGCTCTTGGACCTGAGTGGCTGCGAGACTTGGACTATTCAAAAAACAGAAATACGGTGCAGCTCCGCTCCAATCACCATCTATCAGCTACTCAGTTGTCAAGCAAAGGAATTCATACCGGTGCCCGGTATGGTGTCACAACTTTGATCTTCTTCTTGAAGGTTTCAGGGAGTCCCTTTTCAGTTTGTAATGTTGAGCATTGTTGAGCCATCAAGCCAAACCATGTTGCCGTGCCCCTCAGTGCCCCGCATCCGCCCCTCCGAGGCACTCCTCAAAGAAACGCTTCACCTCGTCCATGGAGCTCGCCACATGGAGGAACTTCTCCCGGAAGAGCGCCACGTTGCGCTGCAGCACGGCCTGGCTGAGCCGAGAAACGAGAAGGCGACGAGCCGCCGATGGTGACGATGGTGATGGTGTGGCAAAACGCGGCAAAAAAGGATGTGCTTCATACAGTGGTTTCAGATTAGATGGTACAAACCCCAGGATGCTTTTTAGATGCGTATCCATGTAAACCACTTTTGGGGGATTGCGCCATCTACTCGAATCTACTCTCAACACACTATGTACTCAGGCTGGGTCTGAGAATTTTAGAGAGGTCCCAAAAGTACGACACTAACACATGCAAAGACACTGGCAAGATGTCCGCTTAAGTAGGTCATCCATACATATTTAAGATGATTCAAAATCCCTTCTGACTGGAATGTAAACACTACCCTCATGGCCTCTGCCAGGCTAGAACTCCATGGTGATGGCCCACCCCATAGCAGTTGGTATCTTGTGCGCCGCCCCCGTAACAGTAACACCCCCTCAACATATTCCACCATTGGGCGCCTGAGCCACAAAACCTGTGACAACTTCAACCGGAGCCGGCAGGCAAGTGAACCTTTCGGAAACGGCTCACCTCCTTGCCCATCTCTGAAACTGATCCAATAATATGATATCCAATGTATCCCAGCTCTCATCCAACCCAGCTGTTCACCATCCTTCACCCCATTAGATCCTAATCAGGTCCCATCACTTCTGTCTTCATCTCTCTCCTCCTGCTTCATCTCCGCGGTCGCCACCATGGCACACTCGCGCTCGATGAGGGCACGGACCTCTGGCTCGCACAAGGAGGCGTCCAAGGCAGAGAGGCCCTGAGCCACTTCGCTGAAGTCTCAAAAGCGGCCAATCGAGGAGAATCTGAAAGTCTTAGTGTTGAACGTATTCAAGTTGAAGAGTCAATCGGTTGAAATACAGAATGAGTCCCACCTTCACCAAGGCCAATCCTCTTCGGCTGGGCACCAAGTAGCGCCCCGGCGCCCGTTTCGGCGGCGCTTTGCCACGCTGAGGGCCGAAGTGTGGGAGGATCGGCTGGCCGTCGCCGTCGTGGAGTTGAACATAGGCGCCTGGCATGGATTGGCAACGTGTGCTGTCAACGAATTGCAGAGTCTAGGCATTGCCAATATATATATATATATGTAGAAATACTATATCTATATTACCATATATATATACATACATTGTTTATTAATGTGTACATAGATAGAGAGAGTAACCGGTAGTTGGAAGGAAGCAAGAGGGGCAACTATGAAACAAACACAGCCCCAATGACGAGATGTTCTACGTTTTGCTTTGGGAAGCAGTTTGGAAGTCATCCTTGGATAGATCACCTGAACATGACCCACAAAACATCATGGAGCCCGCGTCAGTCTGCTATGCCTTTATAGAATGTCGGACCGCAACTGCAACAGCATTTGAAACCTCCCATATTTCTTGATGGACAAAGGTGAAGGGGTAAAACCTGGGGTAACGAAACCTCTTTACACGTTCAGTAATTAGGATATGTATATATATATATATCATGTGTAATACAAATTGTTTTTGACAAAATATATGTACACTCTATATGGACATACTCCAGGTGATATGTGTACTCCACGCAGTCTTGAGGGTTTGTTTCACCGATTCTCGCTAGGATTGACTCCTGAATGCTCGAATCTTCTTCCACAACCTCTGCGACTCGACAACCAGATTCTTTGCTTTAGGCAAAGATTGAAAGTCACGAGAAAGACAGTTTTGGAAAAATAATCAACATAGTAATTAATTCAAAACACCAGTTGAAAGGAATCTTCTTTCATCTCTGATCGAGTATTGCTACGTGAGCACATCTTTTGAATAAGTATGTCTCTAGAAAATGTCGGTCCCAGTCAAGGCACGGTCTTGGATGGTCTGAATATGCTGAGGGATCGATGCATCGGTTCCAATGCCATTCTGATCCATAAGCTCCACCAGCTCCGCTTCCGTCAACGGTTTCGGCGGCTCCGTCCAACTCTCCGCGAGCTGGAAACCCTTCAAGTGCACCTGCGGTGGTTGATGGTCCACACCGAACCAAAGAGGTAAATCATGGTAAATCCCTGCGCAGTGGACCACTAAGCTCAGGTAAGGCTCCAATTGTCTAATCAAACATGATCATACATGATCAAACATGGCTGGAATGACGCATACTGAGTAGTAGCTGGTAAGGGCTATGGGGGCACTGCACAGCAGTTGAGCGTAAGGTCAACATTCTTTACCAAAGTCCTCACCTTTCGGCCGTGAAGTTTCTTGAGGATGGAGCAGCGAGGATCATCTCGCCCCAAAGACAACCTCGGTCCACCGTCCCGTAGGGCGAAATGCTGGTAGGACTGTAGCAGACTGTGGGATGGATAGTTCACATTCTTGACCATGCAAGGTGGTTCTCACAACGCCTCGAACAACTGTTGTTCAAACTTTGAACAGTGTTTCTATATTTCTGTTTTAAAGGAGAGACGAAGCTAAGCGTCTGTGTGTGTGTGTTGTGTTTTACATTTACACCATGTTCAAACATTTTGGATCGGAAAGAGATCCAGTACCTTCAAAGTGACCTCTTTGGAGTCTGTAAGTGACCTCTTTATGAACTAAGTGACCTCAAACTGGGATCTCAAAAGGTCACTTTGAAGGTCCTGGATGTTCCAATGATTTTTAACAACGCAGCGCTTTCCGGTTGTTTTCGGCCTATGTTGATGTTTATTGTCATTGTCATCATGCTCTGTAATCTAGACAGGCACATAACATCTGCCTGTTGCGTCCTTTCTGAAAAGTAATGTAAACATGGCCCGCATGGAATATCTGGAATATGCCCGCATGGATGTGCAATACCATTGCCAAGTGGCCCCTCTCTTGAAAAGCAAGCTGGAGGGCTCAAAATCAGCATCAGGTGACACCCACTTAAGTAGTCTCTTTTTGCAGCGAATACCATTACAGTCACCTGTCTACACGATTACATATTGTTATATAGGCACACAGGTTGAGCGGCCACATTATTCTATACACTATGTTTTGCACTTAAACAATTCACGTGGCAATTTCCCAGTGTGTTCACACATAGTGTTAGTATTTATTATGTGCATGTGCATTAGTATATTTGCATTGGGCAGGTTTGTTACTGGGCAAAGAACTGCAAAATTGTGAATTCTGGCAGTGAAAGTCCAAAATTGCGCATTATAGCTCGGACAACCCATAGTAGTGACATCAGTCTTTGCAATGCAAGTGCAAATAATAGCAGGTTCAGCATTGGTATTCTGTGGCACTCATTTACGCAGTGTTTCTTGCATCATTGCACCATTGCATCCAGCAACCAACAAACCAGGGACAGCTACAACGCAGCGAACCAGAGCGCTTGCCCGCTGCCCAAATAAAAAACAACTCCTAAATCTTAATAGATCTTAGGCGCACTCATCAGCCGCATGCCAACACCAAGCTGGATTACCCTGATAGCGATGGCCTCCAACCTAATAGTGATGGCCTCCACCAAGCTGGATAGTCACTTGTGCTTTGCATCATGTGGAGATTCTAGCAAACTTGCTCGACACCTCGTGTTTGTGGCCTTTCGCTTGTCCGTCTGCCTCTCACACAGGGGAAAATGGAAGGTACTTGCCTTGTGTTTATGGCCTTTCGGTTGCTGGTCTGCTTCTCACCTACAAGAATGGTGCTCAGGAGAAATAACATGTTCATGTTACTAAGTCTCTCTCTCTCTCTCTCTGCCCACTTCAACTTCTCGACCCTTTTTTGAAGCTTGAACGTAAGTAATCTGACACGAAGGGCCTTTCAAAGCCACTCGCACAAACTAGTAATTAATGGCGTGGCTAAACCACACGCGCGCGCACACACTCTGACATTGGTTTGCAGTTAACTCAGTTCCCAGGTGGAAGGAAGGTGGAGAAGCGCAAAGTGAAAAGGTCAGCGAGAACAGTATGGTTTAACCTTGTTTGCAATTGCACTCGAAAACGATCGGACACTCAGCGCGGCTGCAAGTCTGCTGCAAGTCTGCGGTGGGTTTGGGGGTGGTAGCATGGAGAACCATGGAATCAAACAAAGCAAATTAGACAGCGTGGTCAAAAGTTTCGGTTGCAGGTGCACGAATGGACGTCTCCATTCGCTTCCCCTCCAGCGACTTAGCTTCGTTGGACAAAGTTCATCGCTGGAGGCCTTGCCCTCCTGCATTCAAAACTCTTAGTTACAGAGGTTGACACACACACGATGCCGCTTTGCGGCGCTCTCGCGGACGACCTGAATAGGCACCTACAAAGCCTTAGAAGCAAAAGAAAAACAGAAAGAGCAGCGCCAAGAGGGCAAGAGAGAAAGGTAGGAGTAGACAAAAGTGAATACTTAGCCCTTGACTGGGGTAGGGAAACGAGCCTCAAGAACAACCTAAAAAGCCTGAGAGAAAGCCCAAGAAACGACCAAAGGCGCACGAAGGAAAGTGGGGGGCAGGGAAGTGTATGTACATGTGTGTGTCCGTGTGTGTGTATGAATACTTAGCACTCTAGAATTACTGATTACTTAGCAGAAATGAATTAAGTGCAATAGTTAGGGAGCGGGACTTTAGTCTAAACCGCCCGGGTAGAGTAGACTAGAAAAGGGACAACAGAGGGAAAGGCACCGACACACAAGTGTGTCGAGTACCATTTCCCTCTGTTACCCTAATTAGTGGGTGGGAGGGGTTGGGGTGTTTGGGGTAGAAAACACGTCGGGGTTTATTCTCCGTGAAGCCCGGCGGCTTATGTTTCAGGCAATCCAGTGGTGAAACTAAAGCAGTTAAGAAAATGCAAGGTTTGGTGGAAACGGTTGAGGCAGTTACACGAGTTCCGGCATGAAAACGGCGCCTCCTTGCGGAGGATCACACCCAGCACCCAAGTGGGACGACTGAGCGAGTCACAATCTGACATTGGTTTGCAGTCACCTCAGTTCCCAGGTGGAAGGAAGGTGGAGAACCGCAAGGTGAAAAGGTCAGCGAGAACAGTATGGTTTAACCTTGTTTGCAATTGCACTCGAAAACGATCGGACACTCAGCGCGGCTGCAAGTCTGCTGCAAGTCTGCGGTGGGTTTGGGGGTGGTAGCATGAAGAACCATGGAATCAAACAAAGCAAATTAGACAGCGTGGTCAAAAGTTTCGGTTGCAGGTGCACGAATGGACGTCTCCATTCGCTTCCCCTCCAGCGACTTGGCTTCGTTGGACAAGGTTCATCGCTGGAGGCCTTGCCCCCCTGCATTCAAAACTCTTAGTTACAGAGGTACACACACACCGGGATAACGCTTTGCAAGCGCGCCACTCTCGGATCCGCCAGGGCATCGCTTGCAGCCAGCCAGAGGATGCCCCGAAGAGCCGTAGCAGCAGTTGGAATTGGAAACCTTCAATCTCCACTGTGGCCTCCAGAGCACGACCCAGCTCACTAGGGTTAAACCACAGTCCTCTTCCCAAAAGTTGTTCATTGCATCCAGCATCCGGTTCATGTTTTTATGGTTGTGTACTTGCTGGGTAAATTGATGCGCGTGCGTCCGTGTGCGTGTACCTATATTATCCCCACAATTGCGAGCTCACCCAAGTGGAAATGGGACAAACTGGTAGCCACAATGTGTTTCTGTGTTTTTCTTTTCTCCCGTGGACAGTATTTTAATCTATTTTAAGTGCACACACATGTATTTACTATATGTATTAAGGGTGGCACTGCGCGTAGTAATCTCCTACATGCCTTGAAATACTTTGCATCATATTCCATCCATGAAACAACAACATTGAATTTGCTACAATGGTGAACAATCACTTTGGCTAGATTAAAACGATTAAAACATCTGCCAATAAGCAATTCCAGTATGTTACCAAACATCTTCTCTGTGAGTTTCCCAGTGCTTCATTGTCTTCGGAAGCTCTAGCGACGTGTGGCGACTCTAGAAGGGTTCACGTCGGAAAATCCGCTGCCTCGTAGCGCTGGAGCTTCACATCAGCAAGCCAAGACCTGGGGTGTGGAGCTCTCACTTCTGGGAGAAAAACCGAGCCGCTGTGCTGAACTGAACACGTTTTTGCAAAAAAAAGACTGAAATCCCATGAAAGGATTCAGTTGCGTCATGGTTCTGTCAATCAATTGTCCGATCGTCCACCCACATTCCAGGTTCCAACCCAATTGTATCATTGCATAGGCCCCACCATGCATTTTCCTCAGCCTCTCACAGTTCTTCTTATCTGGCCAGCCCAGCTGTTCTGCAACCAACCAAGGCCGAGAAAAGAGACCCTGTTCACTGTGGTAGAGAGTTCATGCACCCTTTAGCTTGATTGTATTTATTCATGCGTATGGCTTTCAAAGGAAAACTCCCATCTCTCTGAACGACTCACCATCATAGCTTATATAGATGCTCTTGGAAGTTGGGCAAACAATGTGACTTAAAAGCCAATCCCACCAAAGAACAATCTCCAATGCGCTTGATAAATCCAACATGAACAGCTTTCCCACTCGCCAATCTTTAGGGGGAGAGGGACAGAAATAGATCTGCTGATCTGCAACATCTCCAAGTTGGGATCCAGTAACGCCACGAAATGCTGGCACACGTAGTCGTAGAGCCGCTTCTGCTGTCCGCTGACCTCTCCAGGCTCTGGTGTTCGCAAGGGGACGATGGGCGGATGATCTCCCACGTCCCGAGCTCCTTGGTCTTTGGCGAGGTTCTGCGGTGAGAGCTCTGAATCAAAGGTGAACACCAATAGCATCCCCCATTTTTGGCAGAACAGGGAGTGGGTCTTCAGATCTCCCAGAACCTTTGGGATATAATGGTGAGAAACAAACCACAAGCACAACCACAACAACAACAACAACATCAACAAGAATAACAATTAAAAGTCAGCTACTGACCATAATCATCCATAAGCAGGAGCTAGAATTTGCTCCCTCCAATCACCATGGTTGGTGAATGTAACCCCAAACCAACACCTCGACTTGATTGGGGATTCGGGATTACTTTGATCAATGCCATCCATATCTCCTCTGGTGCCAGGGGACCAAAACGCTCATAGACTCATCAAGTTGACCATTTACCATCATTTACCTCCGCGCTTCTCCGAGACACCTCTTTCAAAGATCCCTCTGTCTCGTCTCACCCAAGCGTCGGTAGCTCTGTTGGTGCGACTGGGCCGTCCAGGTCTTCAATGCCTGCGCGGCACCGACCAGCTTCAGCATGGTCAACGGGCGCAAGGAGGGCCGGGCATCAAAGGTCTCGTGGTACCGGGTGGTCTCCGTCCGCGGGTAGCTGATCAAACCCGAAGAGTAGAGGTCCTGGGCAAAAGTTTTGCAAGAAACCAACATAGTAGGAGCATTCTTGCTACTAGTAACAAGAAACTACTAGGGGCTCCTGGCCTTACTACTAGGAGCAAGGACGCTACTAGGGGCTCCTGGCATCGCTACTAGGAGCATTCTTACTACTAGTGTAAGTTTCCCTTTAAATCTAGGAACCACATCAATCATGTGACAAATTTATGAGTCAATTATGCACCGTCAAGCAAAAAAAGAGGGTCATGCGAAGCTTGTGCATACGATGCTGGTGAGCGAGCCATGAGGACTTCTGGTGAAGGACCGTTCTAGCTAGGAGCTCTCAGGTTTTGTGGCAACATGTGAGACATATCCTCTAAACATTCCCTGTTTTCAGGTCACTTGGAAGGCCATCTCTTTGACATGGTCCTCGGCCACTTTCATCGCCTGCTTGGGGCCCAGGTTTAAAGCATTGCTGGCTGCTCGCAGCAGCTGCACAGTGTTCAAGCCCAATGGTCGTGGCAACATCTCCTGATTTCAAAGAGCTTCTCAAGGAGCATGACCACGGGTTGGGCCTGTCTTCTGACAATTTAAAGGACACATCGGTACATCAACATCAGTTTTGCAGAAGGGATTGAGTGAACCATATTGTGGATCACATATTATTAGCTACTAGGAACCCGGGCATCGCTACTAGGAACAAGGACGCTACTA